CAAATCCCTATTTTATTTTTTTTTTCCAATTAAGAGATATCATCTTTGCTTATTTTCTGATTGCCATATATGGTAAATCTAATTAAATTCTAAGAGAGGTTGTAAATGTCGTATAAATAGATTTCGATTATGAATGTATAGGGGACAAACACAAAATAGTAATAAAAGTCTTCTCAAACGGAAATGAAGTATGTTTAAGTTACGTAAATCACATCTATAAAAGCATTTGTCATGTATTACTTCTGCCTTACTGATAATTGATTTAAATGTATTGAGAGAATGAGAGTGCCTTATAGAAATATCTATGTCATTCTACTTTTTTGTTGTTGATGAGAAAAAATATTTCGCACGCTTAAGAGATAACCTGAAGTTCTGGTAATTGGAGATCACGTGAGAATTAAAAGATTTATGTTAAGATTAAATTTCACATCTCAAACAATCCACGATTTCATTGTTACATTATCTTTTAATGATCTCTAACGAAACGAAAGAGAAACAATGTCGTGAAAGTTTCGATATCATGTCACACCTTCAAATAGGAAATCGTTGTTTGTTTAAAGTCCCTTTATTGGTACCCCTGGTCTAGCAATGACATGCATCTTACCCCGACTCTTGTTCTACCAGTTTGCAGACAGAACACAAGTTAAAGTATATTGTATGTGAGTGAGAAAGTTTAACGTGCTTTTATCACCAACCAGCCAAATGATAAATAGCTCTATGATGAATTTGACTAAATGAAACCTTTGAAATACCCAAGATGTTGCAATAACTATCCTATCAATAGGAGGATTTAGACAAATCGAAAGGACTTTATACCTTCTTCTTTATTTTAAATGTATTGCAAAGTAATAGTCCTTACTTATTGTAATTATATTTGTAGTTGAGGAAAGTAGATAAGGTATACACAGCATTTCAGATAGATAAAAGTGTAAGTAATTACATTAAATGTATTTATATGCCTATCTTCCTTGAAGTATCATGGTTAGACTTTTCTTCCAGTAATTATGTCTATAAAGACATAGTTCTTTGAGATTAAACCAGACTTCCATTTATATACAAAATTTATAATATATTCAATATAGTTACTACTATTTCTGATCTCCAATGCATTAGATAATGTCACCATGACACGCAAAATGAATAAATATGTTATGGAAATATTTCCTTCTAGTTAATTGATAATTATAAACATGAATATGTTGGGGGGTTTTTATACGCGCTTTGTTTGAAGGAATGTTTTCATTTCAAGGAACCTTAATACACATAAACAAACCTTGAAAAAGTTATAACAAAGTCAACATCATGATCAGTACAGTATTAAAAATATATTATTTATAAATCATGAGCACCAAATGTACCTTGCCTACGAAGCGCAAACTTTTTATCTTCAAAAACTTGAAAAATTGTCATGACGGTGGGTGTGAAAAACCTGAAAAAGTGTCATATCGGCGGGCGTGCGCGTGGGACGAACAGTCCAATTTTGTGACGTCTAATGAGGTAAAGTGATGTTATATATTAAGACGATCTTGCCACAACGACAAAATTGATGTTCTGTTTGTAAGTTTTGTTTGTTTATAAGTGCTGTTAGTTGATAATTCAAACCAAGCCCCAAGACTAGCTTCTTACCATGGCGCCAACTCGCACGTACAATGTTCTGTACGCTTACGTCATGTCGAGAAGGATTCATTAGCCCCACCATACAGTAAATACACTGTTAATCAAGTCACGCAGTTACAATAAACTTTGAAGATACAAGGAACCATTTTTTTGCTTACTTACGGAAAATATGGTTGTTTTCTAGGAATATTCACAGCAGGCGATAAGAATCACGTCAGCTCGATCTTCTTCCGCAGCAGAGGTCGGGGATGTCAGTATACAAATTTCGTAAAATATATTGTTCAAAATTTATCAATAGTTCAACCACACTTTGCTTCTTTTTTTAAATATATAGTAATCGTATTATTAAAAAATAAACTAATTGTGGATGCTTTTAAAATAGCGATTTGAAAGATCGCGGCATTATTTACGCAGAAAATTGCAGCTAGAGGACTCTAACTCTTTTTGATATTTCAGCCAATGAGAAGGCCAGGATCGGTAAATTTTGTCTGAAAGGCCGTCGCAATAGGCTATACGTACTGAGTAGGATTAGCCTAAAAAGCTGTGAGCATACCGTTCTAAACCATCCCAAGGGGAGTAACTCCCACTGCCTAATATCACCATCTTTTACAATACACTTTATATAGCTACCTTTCAATATACCATTTCCGAAGTCGGTGAGTAGTTTGTAAAAAGGAAACAAAGAAAAAAGCATCTTCAATAAACATGTAAAAGTAGATAGACTAGAACCAATCAAGTATTACCTGGGTTAGACAACTGTTTCGTCCTGTTAGAACTCGTCAGTGATGCTTAAGGTCGAAATTTTAAGCCTAAGAGGCGACTGGGGAAAATCCGAAGTGATCGAAAGAAAAGTCAAAATAGAGATGGGGAGATACATCCCATAATTCGATAGATTTCGCAATTTTCACATATTTCACAATTTCAGAACAGCGTCAAGTACACCTTTTCAACCATGGAATTAAATGAAAAAGACAAATCCTGAAATTAGTGCAGCTGTAGAATTACAGGAACGAAAAAATCGGACTAAAACAATGCATAAACACAGTATACCATATCAATAATAACTTCAGTCGTAAAAAAAAATTAAAAAAATAAAAAATAGGACTCCTGCCACGTTGAAAAAAATGTAGAAGTTGACTTGAGTATTGATAAGCTGATTTTATAGAAATTTTCGTGAATTTGAAATATTCTTCGTATGAATGAAAAAGATTTATATTCTTGTATCAATGTATGAAGTCGTGTCTTGTCGAAATCAATCAAAAGCGGGGCAAGTACAGGTAAGGGAGGTAACTCTAACATCGGTCACTAAGCCGCTTAATCTAAATACAAAATTTTCAAGAGATGTTTGAGCGAGACTATACAGGCCTCGGACCACATCTGATTTCTCTTTCTGTTTTACCAAAGGCAACGAAAATCAAAATTTTGTAATTTACAATTTTGTTGGTGTGCCAATTTGTACATCTCCTCCAGCTGAACCTACAGTGAACTGGTGAGTATATGTACCTCACGACCTTTGTGTATGTTTATCAAGGCGGGGTATGTCCCATTAAATCAACAAACAAGTTTTATTACAAAACGTGTCCTTCAACACATCAGCAGGAAAACTAAGTTGACAACAATGTATCACTAAAACAGATAATGTATATATTATTGAGCCAGTAGAATATTTAAATAAACTGACCTGAAATTTCCTAGTGGACAACAACCATGAAGTATAATTGTGGTCTGACGTCAGCATGGTAACACATATGGGAAGGGAGACAACTCCGTTTAATGGACCATTAAAAAAAAAAAAAAAAAACAATCTTACTTTTGATATTTGAAGGCATCTGCTCTCATTATTTTCAGCAACTTTTCAAAGTAGAATAATACAATGATACTCAACAGGTTGGAAAGACAAAACTTCGAGAAATGATCCTTTATGGACCAAACTCAAAAGGCAGCTAGCTATTTGTAACTGTAAGCATACTTAATTATCACACATAACCTTGTCTCGTTTCAATTGTTTTAATTCATATGTCGTAACATGTATACAATAAAACAAATAAATACAACATTAAAAAAACTGCTTAGGAAATACTTTCCGAGAAATAATATTTTTGTTCAAAAAAGTATTGTATGATCACCAAATATACGAAATATAAAAGGAAAAAATAACAACAAAAAACAACAAAAAACTGACAAACACTACAAGCCTGAAATCCGACATTTATTCATCAATTTTGCATTTGAACAAGTATAAATATACATTGTATAACGATACATTTGGCGATGAAAATGACAAATCTGGTTTTTCACATAAAACAATGAATTCTACTAAAACTCGATGGCCTCCGTTCAAGTGTGATGTGTATACGTAAGTTTCTCTAACAATAGAGATCCATATTCTTTTTAACTGTCGCATGTTACGACGGTTAAACCAATGTGACGCTTCTCTATCTCCGTGAAATGTGCGACAAAATTAATGACGTGATCTACTTCCGACTTGGTTACACCACATAAAATGATGACGTGACCAAAAGCGCAAGTGAGTATTACACAAAGCATGATACTTAAAGAAATGTGATTGGCCATGTTAAATGTTGAGAAATATTTACTCCGTAGCTGTATAGGAAGCAATGGAATGTATGTCAAAGTAGATTAGATTCGGAGACAAAATCTCAGCACAACCGGCATTTACTCATTACTGTTAAAATTGTTCATTTCACATATACCAAGGCTAAGGACGTCATCAGGATACACTGGTACTTATTCAGCAACACGAACGAAAGGAAAAGGAATTTCTGTGTATCTTCGAAATTTAAACCTGTTCATTACTTTCAAAATATTGTGTCATATCAGTTGTCCTTTTCAAACTTTCATATAGAAATAAAAGCATACAGACGTCACTGATTTATATAAACTTTACAAACATTTAAATGTTTGAAACGCAAGTTATCAAAACAAGAACAAACAAAACAAAGACAAAAGCCAATAAATTTCAGCGCAAATTGGTTACGTGTCCATCTTACTTCAGGTTAAGTTTCAACAAACAACATAAAGGAGTATTAAGGCGAGAGTCCATGCAGAGAGCTGTCATCACCAGCTTCACATATTGCCGTATCGAACTAAAATTTGCACCGTTTCTGGATTGTGACTTTGAGACCTACAAGGGCTGAAAGTACATTCTGTAGTATTAATAGGTTTTATCACATTAACGCATTGCCTCTCATGTTTACGCACTTCGACCAGTGTCCGTTAAAACAGCTTTATTACGTAATTTACATATGCTAGTTAATCTATGATTATCCCAATCCGATTTACCATTTAATTATTTTGATGACGATGCCGTTATACGAAAGAGCATTACCACTGACGTATTCTATTTTTCACTGTTCACCTTTTCAACATGTCACATGTGTGCCACACTTATTGGGTTCTTTTAAACTCCTCCGGAATGTCTTACTAGTACAAGCGTAGACGATGAAATTAACGGCAAAATTTACATAATAGAGTATCTGACAGACTTGTTGCGTAAGAAAGAGAGAAATGTTCGGTTTGTAGATCAGATTATTTACTGCAATGTAAAATCTCACTCCATGGCTTGGCAAATTGAGCACAAGGAACACAATAGATACAACCATCAACATGATAGTGAGCCTCATTTGAGCTTTTGAAAGAGTATTATGAGACGGGGAGTAATATTTCTTCTCGTGTCGACTAACATGTCGGTATGTAAAACTCCGGATGGCGCGGATCACTAAAATGTTTAAGGTGAAAATTGCAATGAAAGGGACGATGAATGTTATAGTCGAATCTACATAAGTTATCGCAGCAATCAGGTTGATGTCGTCGTCAATCATCTGACAAGCACTTGTCCTTTTCCCAGTGTTACTTATAGCAATCTCCATAGTGAAAAAACTGTGCGCGTAAAACAAAATGGCGAACGCTGTCACTACACATGTAGCGATTCCCGATCGCTTCTTTGAACAGAGCGATGGAGCCTTCAAAGGGTGGCAGACGACAATATAACGCTCAAACATGACAAGAACTACATACCACACAGAGAGGAAGCTTGTGATATATGTTACATATACTGATACCATACACAAAGCACCGTTCTCGGAAAATCGGTCATCAAGGCTCCCAAGCCAGCCGAGGAAAAGCGCCAATAAGAACCAGGTGTCCGACACACTGAGCACTGACAGATATATACTGGATGGGTGTCTGCTAAAACTGGTACAAATAAATACTTTGAAGGAACAGATGTTTCCTAGGATCCCGAGGACTGATATCAGCGGAATAGCGTAGAGATACAGACCGTGGACAAAATCGTAAAATGGAATTTGTTCGAGAGTTGAGCCATTTGGTCTTGAACTGTTGGTGTCGCTCACAGACAAGTCAAGCAGGATATAGGTAGTGTTATCCATGACGAGGCCATTTACAATCATCTCCACTGGTGATCTGATAAAAGAGAAAATACAGAATTATAAAAAGTTTGTTTAGGACAACGACATGTTTTGTCGTACCACCATTTTGGTGATATCAATATGGAAATAAAACCAAAACACTAAGTAAACAAAGAGAGAAATGAAAACTCATTTCAAATACATGTTTACCGAATAACTTAAAATATCACAATTTGACAGGTTTAAATTTAAACATCTGGAAGGCAAATTTAAACGGAGACGCCCAATTTGCTGCTCCATTTTCAGTTCATGACGAAATGTAATTATCAATATCACATTTACAACTGAGCTGCCTTACATGTAATCACACCAGCAAATGAATTTCATTTGATACAATGATTTCCTGTACGTAGTGATTGCCGAGAAACAACGTATTAAAACACAACAAATAAAAAGCACATGAAGTTAAATAATTTTTTGTGTTTGTTGCATGAAAATAACAACATAACGTCGCTTTTAAACCTGTTGTGCGATTGAACGGATTCCGAACAGATAAGCCCTTTGCCTATAAACGAAAGCATCACTTTCGGGATCCCTCACCTGTGTATAATGGTCGATGATGTATTTGGTGAGAATGAATTAAATTCAGATGATGATATACTGTTCGTCAATTTACACTAACGCTTTACTACTGTTAAATAACGTGTTTCATGCATGTAACTATCACTTTAGATTGAAGTTGATACACACACGCACGACCCAGTTCTAGCTGGCTGCTGGAGCCGCATCAATGCAGTTTCAACCGTTTCATTGAGCAACGAGTATGATGTTTATTTGCAACGTTTTAATTGCGTATTTCTTTATCTTTATTTGTTTCCAATGTAAAAGTACAAAATATTCCGTAGAAACGAAGCAAAAATATATAAGAGTACATTTGCTCAAACAGACTATATTTCTTAATGTTGTGTGTTGTTTTGACAGTCACCAAGTGACCTCGAAAGCTCTTCTTTCTGTACTGATTTTCTTCTCGATAAGAATTGTTTTATTACGAAACATACATCGTAATATTAAAAAGATAATGATAAGATAAATAAGTGATAACGATATAAATATATGGATTGGAAGTCAGAGGGCTTCATATGGATACAGCAGCTGAACTTACATTGCATCATAAATGGTTTTTTAAAACTAGCTTTCAGTCCATAAATGACATCCCAATCGATTTCCAATTGAGGCAGACAATGCAAAACGCTTCAAGGTACATTGTCGAATTTACTGGATAAAAGGCGGATTATGTGAAAAAGAACAAGTATCTTTTGGCATGTTGTTGAATTTACAACATTAAACAATCAATGATTTTCAGTACAACCTGCCGGTAATTATCACGTTTTAAATAATGATGACGTACAGGAGGGATATTGCAACTTAAAATGTCCAATTTAGCATCATTAGGCTCCATCACCAGACACCATCAGGCCTTGTTAGGTAAACAATTAATAAAGTCAAAATAGACCAGCCATATATGAGGTAATTCTGACCTACTTCCTTTTTTTAATCGATTTTCGTAATACAAGCTATTATATTAACATTACAATGTGTTTAAAATATTGCCGGTTAGAAGTATCCCTGGTGATCAAAGTTCTAGGGGAATTTTTTTTAAAATTAGCTGTTAGCTACGTTTAACCTATGTTTGTTTTAGCTAAATATCAATACTATTATTTATTATTGATCCAGTGGAAATTTGCTCACAACAACACTGATACCTATCCTACAAGACCGATTACATGGTTCATGTCAGTCAGTCTCAAAGATCAGCTTTTTCAGAACTGAAGGCACCAGTATACTTTGACCACTTATTCAGCTATCAAGAATCGTCTTGCAACATATTAAAAAGAAGTCATTGTCCATTTAATGTGATTAAAAGTATATTCTGGTGTATTGCTTTTGATCAAACTCAACTCATCAACAGTAACTTAATAGTTTCGATATATATTAAAACTTTACTTGACGTTTGTTAAAGGGAGGTAGCTCAAGACAGCTTGATATTTAATTAGTGTATTTTGCGGTAAGTAAACCCTATACAATGTTCCCGTGTGGTGAGATCATCTAATTTAGTCAAGCTTTACTTAAATCCAAACAATGTTTCTGGGAGATGCGGGCTGGTATGGTATGATATACTGTAACTAGTAAAGGGCCCCAATGAAATAGCAGAGAGAAACTCACCACTCTCAGAATAATCCCTGGTATTCGACCAAGCAATGAAGATAACCTTTTAATCTTCAAAATGCAACAGTCTAAATTTACACACCTTTCTTTGACCGTGAATTCAAAACAAGACCGGCGAATTCTGCGATGTAGCTATGTCTCGCCACTGAAATCTAGGTCAAATAACGCTGGTATTTCATTCACTTTTACATGACATTTTTCGATTACATATATGAATACAAACTCCGCATCGTATGCCAAGTGTACAGTTTAAAAAATCTCTGAAATCAGACTTCATTTTTTTCCATGCTGTACTTCTTCAACAAACCAAAACAAGCTGTGGCTGGTGAATGTCTCTTTAGTATTCAGTTGCCCCCTCTCGAAGTTGCCCATCTCTCATAACAAACCCTCGTTCACCAGAAAACTTGTTGCAATGTCCCTGTTTATAAGATCATTGTTATATTATATAAAAATAATATTACTATAAATAGATACGTATTTAAATATCAACATTTTTATTCCTAAAAGTATGACAGTTATTTATTATAGTACACAAACTTGTGACCTCACATTTTCTATGTGCCCCCACAAAATATGACATTTGGAATCATAAACTATATGCAGCTGACCTAAATATATATTCGGACAAACACTTATTACTGATTGGGAACAGGATGGTCAAAATTGGCTCTCCTCCTTTGAATCCACTCGAATGATAAGATTTAGCGTAATTGCTAGAGTAGATATTGATCGTAACGCTGCATGATGCTGTATTGTTCCGTTGACTATAATGTAGAGCATACTTGGGTTAAAATGAAATACAACACGAGAGTAAATTGTCATGTAGTTTGAAAAGCATCTCTTATACAATTATTTGTACAATCAAACATAAAATAAAAATAAGCTTTAATGTGCGTCCCAATTTCTGATCCCATTTCATGAATTTTCTGTAACCTAAGGAATTTTCCTTACCTTCAAATTCTCCACAGAAAAGCATTACATAATTAGGGATACTTCCTCTAAGCTTTTCCTAAACAGAAGTTACATTGTTAGCCAACACTTGAGACAATGATAAGTGATAGAACGCACTCCAAGGCTAGAATGTACAGTTAAAAAAAACAAATACTTGCTATCGATAATTAGAAGTGTGTTGGATTGGGTAAGAGATCTAATTTCAGTTTCACGAATCTTCAACTTAAGGGAATTTTCTCAACTTACGTAATGATTCTATGACATTTAAGATTTTTTAAAGTTGGTGAATATTCGTGATAGTGAGGCCAAGCATGCTGGTACTGTTTACACTAACCACATTTTGTTTGATACAATATCTACTAACTGAGCTAAGTGATATTGAGAAGACGAGACAAAAACAAGTGATGTTTAACATTACAGCGTAATTGAATCCGGATAACAGACGATGAAAACAGTTGCAGCGGTAAGTTTCAATCCGGTGTAGTTCTATCATTCAATATCTCAGTCTTGTATGTGATATTTATAGAATTTCCATATGTATGACACCTTTGGGATATCTTTAATGTTTTAGAATTATGTTTAGCTTGTTGAGGATATTCGTGTTGTATCTTTGACGCTAAGTTAAGCTGCTTCATGATGCATATCCGGAAGTCAATTCGCGTACATCGTACCAGAATGTGACGAAACGGCTTCTCGTCGATATATGACCAGTTTGTCAATGTTTGTCTATCAATTTACAAATGCACGGAGTCATTGCATGCATATTTTGTCATACTAGGGAAATGCAATTATGATTCAACGATAAAACCTTTTCTCTATTTTAATCATAATAACAAAACAAAATAAAAAAAGATGAAAATGACAAAATTTCGGCGTCATATTCTAACCTCATATAGTTCGTGCATCACTAGAAGTTTTAAGACAAAACAACTGTATAATGAAGTTCCATTCATAATTCAGTCATACTAAACATATCAAAATGTGCTATTCACCCATGTGGCTTTTGTACAAACGGAAAGCTACTAGACTTAATTTGTAGGCTACTGGACGCCATTTATAAGCTACTCTACGAAATTTGTAGGCTACTGGACGCCATTAGTTGGCTATAGGGCGCCATTTGTAGGCTACTGGGCGTCATTTGTTGGATACTGGGCTTCATTTGTAGGCTACTGGGCGCCATTTGTAGGCTACTCTACGCCATTTGTAGGCTACTGGACGCCATTAGTTGGCTATAGGGCGCCATTTGTAGGCTACTGGGCGCCATTTGTAGGCTACTGGACGCCATTTGTTGGCTACTAAGCGCCATTTGTAGGCTACTGGGCGCCATTTAAAGGCTACTGGACGCCATTTGTTGGCTATTAAGCGCCATTTGTAGGCTACCTGGCGCCATTTGTAGGCTACTGGACGTCATTTGGAGGCTACTAAGCGCCATTTGTAGGCTACTGGACGCCATTTGTTGGCTATTAAGCGCCATTTGTAGGCTACTGGGCGCCATTTTTTGTATCTGTGTAATCTGATGGACTTTAAATACATATACGAACATGTTAACAATTAGCATGTAGCAACCATTCATACCTAAACTGAACTATATAATTTAAGATTATAGCGCTAAATTGTAAGATATTTGAATAATCATTTATTTGAAAATTCATTTATATATAAATACATGTAGCAATCCGGTTTTCAATGTGGCCACTCTACTGTCTATCAAAAGAAAGAAATATATAATATGTGTGAAACTTGCAACCAACATGTCTTGTTTTTTGTGATATCTCTAAAGCGTTCCGATCATGTGTGGCACAAGGGACTGAATGTAAAATTAGTAAATTATCGAATAAAGGAGATGATTTAAAATTGGTTAAAAT